GTAAATATATTCCTTAACATCCATTCTGCAGGAAAGATGGATTCTTGGCCTTCCAGACAAGCCGCTACAAGCTGCATTACTATGAGACACCCACTGGGGTCAAGGTTGTAATGAATACAGACCTGGGTGTAGGACCTATTCGGGATGTCCTACACCATATCTACAGCGGGGTCAGTCTTCTCTCCCTCCTTCCTCTGTCAGCATCTCTAAGGTCCCTTATACTGTTCTGGACTTAGCTCAAGATTCTCCAGAATCTCAAGATTCTGTTGGTTCTCTGTGGCATAAACATCCGAAAAAATGATCAAACAACAGAACATTTATTAAGCATCTACCATGTGCCAGGAACTGTGCACACACAAGTACAAAGACAAAAATGAAATGGTCCTTGCCTTCAAAGAGCTTACAATGTATCTAGAGAAAGATCTCCAGCAAGTTAGGCAGATCATCTATAAAGGATATGTAAAGGAGACATTGGGTAAGCATAGCACAGAATTAGAAAGCATAGGATTTCTATGGGATAGAATTGTAAGCTTGAACCAGTGGAAGGAATCCCCACATCACTGAGACCCCCAAGTGCTAGAATACGCTGAAATACTGAAGTATGACAGGGTTTGGTCATAACATGCTTCGAAATTATGAGATTTCATTGGGATGGGTACTTACTCCCTCTACAAATTGTCACATGTCCACACTTTAGTAGATGTTTTTTCATGAACTGCTACAGCCAAAGAGAGTTATCATTTGGTAGCTAAACCACTCCAAAATTAGTGAGGTTTGTCCTCAGATCTCAGGCATATAGTCCAGACTGCTACTCAAAACCTTTCCAATTTGGTAGGACCTAGGAGAGTGTGTGTTCTACTGGCATGACTTCCAGAAATGAGGCCTCAGAGTAGGACTTTAGTGGAGGTTGATCATAATATATTATTGACATAATTGCAAAATGTTGGTCGAGGTTGGTTGAAAGTTGCTGATTGATTGAAAACAAGGACTGTTTCAATTTTTGTCTTTGTACCATATACAGTTCCTGGCCTAATGCTTTGTTGATTGATTGTTTTTCCATGTTGTTGGTACCAGATAGCATTTATGCTGTCCGTATATTATTCCTATCCCTGACTGACCTACATTATTCCTATCCCTATATGACCAGTCCATTTCCCATTCCAATCCATCAATCAACAAGTATTTATTAAGTGCCAGATACTGCACTAGCTGTTGGGTATATAAATGTAATAGTGAGAGTTTCTGTACTTTTACATTATACTAGGTGGATATAACCCATTTACAGATAAGGATATAAGGGACATAATTACTTTTACAAAGTAAATATACACTGAGTGGTAGGGGCAGGAATGGGAGTTCCAAGATGTGGGAATGAGGAAAGGCACTCCAGGAACAGGGGAACAGCCTGTCCAAAGGCATGGAGGCGAAGGATATACTATTGTATACAGGGAGTAGCAAGCAGGTGTTTGACTAGAACATAGAGTGTGTGAGTGAGAGTAATATATATGTAATCAGCCAGGAAAGAGAGGCTGGAGTCAGATTGTAAAGGGCTAAACAGGGGAGTCTGTATTTAGCTTTAAGGTAGTGTGGAGCCACTCAAGCTTCTGGAGCAGAGGACGTCTGGTATGATCAGACTTTAGGAATATCATTTTGGCAGCTGTGTAGAGAATGAATTAGAAATTAGAAGATGTTGAGGTGGGAATAGCAAGGCTTGGCAACTAATTGGATATGGATGGGGTAAATGAGACTGAAGAATTGAAGGTTACTGTTGGGTGGTAAACTTGGGTGGTTGGAACATTGGTGATACCTTCCACAGAAACTGGGATGTGAAGAGGAAGGGTGCATTTAGGTGGAAAGATAATGAATTGTTTCAGACATTTTGAATTTGAAATGCCTGTATGACATCTAGCTAAAGATGCCCAGCAGGCAGTTGTATTCCAGACTTCTTTATTGCTAAATCCTTTGGCTTTTTTTTTTCAGTCCTCATTTGTCTTGATCCCTGCAGTATTTGATTCTGCTAACCACTCATTCATTCTAGATACTTTTCCCCCCTAGTATTCATGACACTGTCCTATTGTGGTTCCTTTCCTGCCTGTTGGACCAATGTTTCTTGGTTTCCTCTGCAGTGTTATCATCCATATCCTGCTTCCTATGCGTGGGTATGCTCCAGTGCTCTAACCTGAGCTCTCTTCTCACTACGCTTTTGTTGGTCATGTCAGCTCCCTATCAACTATTATCTCTTTACTCCAAAAATCTATATATTCAGCTTTCATCCCTCTCTGAGTTCCAGGCTTACGTTACTAGTTGCCTACTGGACATTTCCACCTGGATGTTCCATGAGCATTTAAACTCAATATGAATAAAACAATTCTTTATCTTTCCCCCTAAACCTCCTCCTAACTTCCATATTTCTGTTGAGAAAATTACCATTCTTACAGTCACCTGGAACCTTGCAATCTAGACGGCATTCTTTATTCCCATAGACATCTGAAACCCACCATGCCCAACCAAAACAGGTTGGAGGTTACAGTGAGGACAGATAATGGGGTTAGGAGAACACATTGCCTTATAACATCTCTTGTGCCGTTTTTTGCATATAGGTCATCATTTGAAGTACTGCAGCCTGTATGCAAAACCCTATGATGTTGCATGCAGGTCTCAATGATATGAGCTAGTACTTGACCCCTAACATCAATTCCTGAGATAGTCTATTTACCTTCAGTCAACAAGCATTTATTAGGCACCTACTATGTGCCAAGGGGCAGCTAAGTGGATAGAGTCAGGGGCCTAGAGTCAGGAAGACTCATCTTCCTGAGTTCAAATCTGGCCTTAGATATTACTAGCTGGGTGACCCTGGGCAAGTCACTTAACCCTTTTTGCCTCAGGTTTCTTTCTGTAAAATGAGCTGCAGAAGAAAATGGCAAACCAATTCAGTATCATTGCCAAGAAAATCCCAAATGGGGTCATGAAGAGTTGGACACGACTGAACAATAACATGTACCAAGCACTGTGCAAAGTGCTGGGAATACAGATATAAATGTGAAAACAGTCTTTACAAAATAGTCTGCCCTTCAGGAGACCACATGTTCATACATGTGTAAGTAGATACAGAATATTTGCAAAGTAAATGCAAGGTAATTTCAGTGAAGGAGTCCTAGCATCTGGGGTGGGATGGGGGAATTAGGAAAGGTCTGATGTAGGAAAAATTCCCTTGAGCAGAGGTGATGAGGCAGTGTATACCATGCTTGGGGGACAGCCTGTGCAAAGGGGGATGAGAGATGCAATGTTATGAGAAATAGCCTAGAGTGGCCAGACAGCAGAGCTCGTGAAGTGAAGTAATGTGGAATCAATCTGGAAAGATAGATCAAAACCAGAATGTGAATTCCAAAAAGTTTGGTCAGACCTGTGTGGAGGATAGATTGGAGAGGAGAGAGATACAAGATTGTTGCTCAGTTGAGGCTGGATCTGAACTCGGGTCTCCCTGACTACAGGCCTGGCACTGTATTTACTGGGACACCCAGCTGCTCTGATAGGAGATAAGGAGGCCAATTAAGAACCTAACAGAATAGTCAGGACTTGAGAGGTGAGGACGACCTGGACTACAGCTATGTAAGTCGAGAGAAGATAAGGCATTGAAGAGATATTATGGAAGTTGGAATGGGTAAGACATCAACTAATTGGATGTGAGGACTTGGGATAGTGAAGAGTGGAGGATGTCTTCAAAGTTATGAAATAACTTCATTCATATGGTACTAATGATAATATCTGTATTGGAGTCAGTGGTTCCCCAAGTCTCCCCACAATCTCTCAGAACCCATTGTTCGCCTCTAGCACACATACTTTCTCCAAGTTCTCAGGGTCTCCAACTTTATTGTATTTGAACCTGAGTTCAAATCCTCCCTCAAACATTTACTGTCTCTGACCCTGGGCAAGTCATGTAAAGCCTCAGTTTCCTCATCTATAAAATGAGGATAATAATAGTACCTACATTCCCAGGAATGTTGCGGAATCAAATGAGATAATATTTGTAAAGTGCTTTCCAAACCTTAAAGTTCTTTATAAATGCTAGCTAGTATGGGGAGTGATATTTCACTTCGTACCCCCACGATTTGGGGAGAGGTGAAGGTTGAGAAGGAGAAGAGAAAAAGAGCATCTAGAAAGAATGGGGATTTAAGGGAGAAAGAACCTTAGCCTTTTCCTTCCCTCCCTGTCCCCCCTGACTTGTCTCTCCACCCCCTCCTCTCTTCTTCTATAGCTGTACGTGGAGTTGGTGGTGAAGAATCCACTGTGCCCACTGGGTCAAACTGTACAAAGTGAACTTTTTCGCAGTCGGCTTGATGCCTACGTTCGATCGCTGCCCTTCTTCTCTGCCCGGGCTGGCTGAGAACAGCATTCCTCTAGAACTACATCTGTATTCATTCTGCATCTCCCTGTTTGCTTTGGTCACCCGAAGAGCCTTCCAGTCCTCCCCAGCGCTGTTCCAAAGTGTCTACTTGAGGAAACCCAGGGCTGAATTCCCCTCCAGACTCTTCCAGCTCCAGTTGTCCTTTGCTTCTGATGCTGTGATCCCACCTAGTCAATGCGTACCTCCCTCCAGTCCCCTTGCAGCTGTATTGAGCATGGACAATAAAGCTTTCACCTGTCTGATGGCCCTGGGAGCGTCTTTGCTAAAGGGAGGGTGTTTTGGGAGGCTAGAAGGGAGAGGTGGAAGTTCTGGAGCCAGTACCAGACACGGGTCTTGGGTGGGTGGCTGGTAGAAGAGACTCCTCGGTCCTCAAAAGGAGGAAGGACGGTGCCTCCTTTTTCCATCTGCACTGAGGAGGCCGGGTCATGCAGATACAGCTTCTACTGCCCCCTGTCCGTAGCCTGGGAAGGTGGAGCTTGTGCAGACTGGGGGGGGTGGAGCTTGTGTTCAGACTGGAGAGGTGGAGATAAAGCTATGCAGATGAGGGGTGGGGGATATGCAGATGACCTAAGAGCAGCTGCAGGCTGGAAGCAGAACACCCTCAGGTTGCGGTTTGGGCTGCTGCGGCTACACCTCTCCCCTCCTTCCCCTCCTCCCTCCCTGGGGTTCCTTATCCTCCGAGGACCTCCTGGGAGGCTTGGAACCCCAACCTCTAACCCCTCCTCTAGCTCCTGTGCCAGTTCTCCAGCACCCCAAAAGAATTCCCCCCACTTCTAGCGCATCCCCACTCGTCTCCCCATCCCCGGAACCCGCTTCCACCAGCCTAACTCCTGGGCCCCTCCTGTTCTCATTCTGCCCTCCATGTTCCCCTCCCTGGGTCTGCTCCAGCCACCACTCCGTCTCCGGTCCGCCTGGCCTCCTCACCTCGTCCCCCAGTCTTCGCAGAACATTGAATCTAGAGGACCTTCGCCTCCTTTGGTTTGCCCCCACCCCGACTTGCCCTAACCCCCAGCTACGTCCTGTCATACCTCCAGCCCCTCTTTCTCCCACCTCGTCCCTAGTCCTTCCTTCCTACCCTCTTCTCGGAATCATCCCGATTCCTCAAGGATCCCGTTTTCCTTCCCTCCTGAGCCGGGATGCAGGTGTCCATCGCTTGCACTGAGCAAAACCTCCGCAGCAGGAGCAGTGAGGACCGTCTCTGTGGACCCCGACCTGTCCCTGGGGGCGGGAATGGCAGTGGAGTGACCAGCATTCACGGGAATCCTTCTGGGGGAGGGGGACCTGGCCCCAAGGTCCGGGCTGTGTCAGTCGCACGACCCCTGGGTCCTGCAGCTATGACCCCCTCTGGGCCCCTACGAGAGAGCACCGGCCGCGGCACCAGCATGAAGTACAGGTACCGGAGGAGGGGGCCAGAATAGCCTCTCTTTAGCCGTGTCCCTACCCTTCCCTCGCTTCGGCGACCCCTCCTCATGCCTCCCAAGTGTCCTACATTCATTATTCTAGACTCCTCAGATTTCACCAACAACATCCCAATTCCTTACTTATATCTGTCTCCATCTCTTTTTCACATTCCCTCTCCTTGGCTGTCTCTTGTTCTCCGTCTCCACCTCCTGACTCTCTTTTGAGAATCAGAGTAAGTGGTTAGGGTTCACTGTGTTCTGTCTTGTAGCTTCCCTCCCATCCCTAAAGTATTCTGAGGTTGGCCTCAGGGGGTGTTTATAGTCCCCTCCTGCTACTTAGGGAATGTCTTCTGAGTCTGCTCCCTGTCTCCCCTACCCCCGTTGCTTTCCAGCCACTGTATATCTAGAATTGGCAGTGGGGCTCACTAAGCTCCTGGTTGTCAATAAAGCAATAATGGATTTGACCCGCTTTCACCAACAGTTCCCACCCTCCTGACTCCAACTTCAGGGTCCTCTACTTTTTTCAGGCAGATGAAATGACCCTAGCCAAGGGAAAAAAACTTTGGGTCCCAAGGGGATTTGCAGAACTGTGGGGAGAGCAAAGGGGACTTTGGAAGAAGTAGCAGGGAGGGATTGATATTATATATAAGGTACAGTAAGGAGCCCACAACCCCACCCCATAGCATGGAGCTCTTCCCCTTCCCCTCCCCCCTCCACTGCAGAAGAAATTGATGGGATTTTTTGGTAAACAGCAGTGTTCTGATATTGCAAAAGGGACTGTACCCTATCCTATGGTGGGGTAGTGAGGCTATTCATCTGAAAGGGTTTTGTCACCTAAGAAACCACATATCTCACCCCATCCTGTCCCCCACTCCCATCCTTTCACATTCCGAGACCTAAGTTATTCTGAAACTTTTGGGGTAGGGGGGAGAGGGTTCAGATGGGTCTGGGAAGGAGTTTCACTAGCCAATAGGAATAGGGGGGTGGAGAACCATGAGGAGAGGGGCTGGGCTTCCTTGTTCCCTGTTCCCTTTGTAGTACCAGTCTAGATGATTTAATAAAGATTCCTTCTGATAGACAACCATCTGCCTAAAGGATTGAAGGGAATTAATCATTTGTCAACTTTATATCCCCCTATTTTCACAAGCATTTGGGGATTGATAGGGATGGGGAAGATCTCAGTGGTCTCTTCTTTATTTTCCACCAACCAAAACCCCAATTTGCTGTTTAATCTTCTGGAGATAACTCACTCTTCTAGGGCCATCTTCTTACCCCTTCCCCTTCCAAATTAACTGTCCTTTTATCCTTCCCAAACCCAAGAAACTGTGACAACCTAACACTAACCATGTCCTATACAGGGAAATCCATGGATATGACTGTGAGAAGAGATAGGAGTCAAGAGAAATCAGGCAGCAGATTTTAATGATAGCAGGGAAAACAGAAATTGCGCAGCAGGCCCCAGAGGAAAGTTAGTTAATTCATTCAACAAATATTTGAGTGTCTACAGCCTGTGCTTCCCTCTGGGTTGAGTTTGCCTGGGCTTTTGTATGAAGGGAGGGTAAGAACACATTCAAGGAGGCAAAGAACTAGAGAACTTCTCATTATTTAGATTTCCAAGGGGAACTGAAGGTGAAAATCCTTCTACTGACTTTTCTTTACCCCACAGGAATTTGGGAAAGTCTGGTCTTCGAGTATCCTGTCTTGGCCTTGGTGAGTCTAATGGGAAATGAAAGGATGAGGAGGCTGTTAAGGGTCAAGACTTGTCTCTCACAGCCCCCATGTCCCTGGATTTTCTTTCTGCAGGTACCTGGGTCACATTTGGGTCTCAGATCTCAGATGAGGTATAAATGTCTCTGACCCCAAAAGATAGATGGGAATGATGGGAAGGATGTAGAGAATAGAGGGATAAGGGTGGAGGAAATAGAGAGATGGGGAACTAGGGGGATTGTGGAATGGTGGGCTAGAGAAAGGAGTATGATGGATATGGGAAATAGGACATGGGAAACAAGGGTGGGGATTAGTGGAACTGAAGTTAGGAAAAGAGGAATGTGGAAAAGATACAGGGGGCAGGAATGGGATGGTAGTATTATGTTTGAAGACCCACAACACTTAGAAGTCTCTTGGGATTTGGAGGGCTGAGGGTGGTAAGAAAACCACTGGAAAGGTAGTCTTAATTCTATTTACCCCATAGACTGCAGAGAATCTGATGACTGTGGCTTATGAGCATGGAGTGAATCTGTTTGACACAGCTGAAGTGTATGCAGCAGGAAAGTATGAACCAGGGAAAAGGGGAAGGGTATGAGTTCAATTAGTGGGGAAAATATTGGGAGTGGAGAGGAAAAAAGAGGGTCTCTCATCTTTGCTTCAGATAATCCCTGGTTTCAGTGAACATTTGCCTTTCCCATTATGTTGGGTCTTTGAAGGGACTTAGAGAAATATGGATGTTGAAACCCCAACAGTATTTCTTCTTTAACTCTTAAGGGGAGAATGAACAGGATACGTAGGCAAAATAAAATAAAAACAATACATATTTATTGAGCACCAACTCTGTGAGGGCAACAAAGAGGCATCATGGGGGCTACAAAGAAATATATCCCTGCCCTCAAGAAGTTTACAATCCTATTGGAGAGGCAAGACTGAAAATGTAGTTAACAAACAAGATTTATAAACTTTTAACACCAGCAACAGAAGGAATGTTACAAGGCAATATATTTCTAAATGACTATGAAGGCAATAATTTATGTGTGGTATAGTAAACAGAAACCTGGTCTTGTGAGAGGACCTAGGTTCAAGACACTTGCTTAACTGTGTGACCGTTGTCAAAGCATTTAACCACCAAATCTGTTTCCTCATTCAAAAAATAGGGATAATACTTGCACTACCTACCTTGTAGGGCTGTTGTGGAAAAAAAAAAGACTTGTACACCTTTAAGTGCCACATAAATGTAAGTTGTATATCATTGTTAAGTTCAAAAGCATTTCAAACTGAGATGGTCAAAGAACGCAAAGGAAGTGGAATTTGAAAAAAAAAATAACTATTTCTATTCCTACCAGACTACAGAGCTACAACTCCCTGGCCCAACTTCTCTGTTCTTTTCAATGTAATATAGGGCCCAGGGACTGATGGATGCTATTCATGCTCTGCTAGAACAGGAACTAGAAAGAAGTTGTGGGGGGCTATCATTAGAGGGGAGAGCCCCCTGCTCCCTTATTATTTCCCCTTTTCTAGGGCAGAACGAACACTGGGCAATATCCTTAAGAGCAAGGGTTGGAGGTGAGGCTGTTGGGGTACAAGGGAGGGGATGTTTGGGTGGGGAGGGGAGTCCACAATGACCTTGTTCCTGCTGACCCCACCCCCACTTCCCTTTTTTTTTTTAAGGAGATCCAGCTATATCATCACTACCAAAATCTTTTGGGGAGGACAGTGAGTATCTCCTTTCCCCCATAGCCTCCACTAGGGATGACAGTTTGGAGTGGGTACATGATAGCTGTCCAAATATTTGAAAAGCTGTTATGTAGAAAACTTATTCTGTTTATTGTTGGGGTGGGGGCAGGGAGAGGAGCAATGGGTAAAAGTTGCAGAGAGGCACATTTAAGCTCAATGTCAGGAATACCTTAATAATAAGAACTGTTCAAAATGAACTGCCTGAGGAGATAGTGGGTTTTCCTCCACTTGAGATTTTCAAGCAAAGGCATTTGAGATGTAATCTACTGAAGGCAGTGGACTGTTTGATTTTTGTCTCCACAGCCCTAGCACCTAGCACAGTGCTTGGCACATAGTAGGTGCTTAATGTTTGTTGACTGATTAAGCATTGTAAAAAAGATTCTTGGACTCTGAAGTCCTTTCCAAGGGAAGATCCTCATACCTATAACTCCAGCTGAGCCCTTAATCAAGAGATGTGGGGATCCACTGGGTTATAATTATTACCATCTATCTTCAGCATCATCCAGTGTAAACTCAACTTTTCTCACAGGGCAGAGACTGAAAGAGGCTTGAGCCGAAAACACATCATTGAGGGTGAGGGACTAGGAATGGGGAGTGGGGAGGATCAAAGGATGTTGTGGGGGGCTGGGGAGGGAATCAAGAGAATGCAGGAAAGCAAACCAGAGGAGTTGGAGGCTTCAGGGTCCCAGGATTATAGGGCAGCAAATTACGAAGCTAGGCTGGGGGGAGAGTATGAGATCTGAATAGGTGAACTTCAAGAAGCAGAAAATCAGGGACCTAGAACTTAGGGGGCCATATTTGAGGAAACTGAGGTCACTTTATCTTCTTTCCCCCCTCCCCCAGGCTTGTGGGGCTCCTTGGAACGGCTTCAACTGGGATATGTAGACATAGTCTTCGCCAATCGATCGGACCCCAACAGTCCCATGGAGGGTGAAAATAACCCTAAGGATGCCCAATCTTTGAGATGCTCATAAATCTGGGGATCACCTCCCCAACATTGACCCCAGGGTTTTCCAACTTCAGGGACCTCAGGGTGCTCCCAGGTTTCCCACCTCCCCTATCAGGGATTCCAGAAGAGAGTAGGGGAAGGGGATTTGGGGCAGGGAGTGGAGGGGACTGGGCAGAACTTCAATCTCACTTAGAGATATCTGGGTTCTTGGAGGGATATCACTATAGGGAAGAGGGTTCATCCATCTGGGAGACTGGATGCCTGAATCCCAGGGGTCTAACTGTCAGGATTTCATTACCCTTACACATCCAGAAATTGTCCGGGCCATGACCTTTGTAATTAACCAGGGACTAGCACTGTACTGGGGGACATCACGATGGGGAGCTGCAGAAATCATGGTACGTGACACTATACTATACATTTCCTTAAATATATTATACTATACACTATACATTTCCTTAACAACACTATAATCTCTAATCCTCAGAATACATGCTTACCAAGTAAATGGGTTGGAGGGGGAGAGGTGAAGAGCTGAAAGGTAATGGGGTGGGGTATTCTGATGCTTACTTCCTCCAAACACCTAATCCAGGAGGCCTACTCAGTGGCCCGACAATTCAACCTGATTCCCCCTGCATGTGAACAAGCTGAGTACCACCTGTTTCAGAGGGATAAGGTGGAGACACAGCTGCCTGAGCTCTACCACAAGATAGGTTAGAGACTACTTTCCCTACCCTGCCTGACATCTTCTCTAGCCTCAGCCTCCCTAGCCCTTCTCCCTCACATATGCCATCTCTTTCTTCATATACTCTTCTCTAGATTCCTTCCTTCTGCTCACCATTAAAATTGGCCCTCATCCTTTCCTTATTCCTTTCCCATAGTCTTCTCTCCTCCTGCTCTCAGGTGTTGGTTCAGTGATCTGGTCCCCTTTGGCCTGTGGTGTCATTACTACCAAGCATGAAGGAAGAATCCCAGAAACCTACAGGGGGACCATCAAGGTAAGAGAGTGTTAGGACTTAGAAACCTGTGCACCTGAAGAGAGCAAGGACTGGGGATATTCAGCTGTTCTGAACTATTTGGGAAGGAAAAAGATGGAGTCTGTTAGTTATTCTCACCCCACCCCCCACCTCCCTTTCTCTTCCAGGGTTACCAATGGCTCAAGGACAAGATACAGAATGAAGATGGCAAGAAGCAACAGGCCAAGGTCATGGACCTGCTCCCCATTGCTAACCAACTAGGTTGCACAGTAGCTCAGCTTTCTATAGGTGAGGAGGCTCTCCTCCTACAAACCCTTAAACCCTTACCCTAAAATAGACTTGCCCATGTCAGATATTTTCCTCATGCAATTCTCAAATTCAGAGCTGACAGGGGAGAGGAAAAAAACAAACAAACAAACAGAAAAAAAAAACCCATATCCTCCCTGCCTTCAAAGAGTTTATCATAATTTATCACCGGATTTTATTTAGTTTGGGATGGGGTAAAAAAGGAAACATGAAAATATATGTAATTATAATGTATAAATTTAAATAGCACTTTAAGATTTTAAAATAGTTTTATTTAAATGATGTCATTTGGTTCTTACAAGAAATGCTCCATCTACTTTCCATTTTGGTCAAGCTGGATTTCATTCTTTTAGGGAACTTCTGGTGTGGAAACTCTCTCCACCTATGCAGATGGGCACCTGGTCTGTAAAGTTTTAATTGTAGTGAGTTGCATGAGACGCTGAGAAGCAGGATTTTAACCCAAGTCTTCCTAACTCTAAGGCTAACTAGCATCGTATTAGCTACACCAGACTCCTTCTCAACTGTACTAGTTTATGTAGTTTGGGGGAGAGGGGGAACCAAACTTGTGATTTCTGGTGTGAGGGATTTGCAGCTAGGAAACCCCGCCTTTTAACCTATACACACTTGTCAGTGATCTGAAATTTAATCTTAGAGAACTGCCTACGATAACTTAAGTATATCATAAAAAGTTCACGTGCCCAAGAGAAGGCTCCATTGATGGGGGATCTCTAGGCCCTCTCTCAGGCTGTCTTCCCCCTGCCCCTCTTCTTTCCATCCCAGCCTGGTGTCTCCGCAGTGAGGCTGTCAGCTCCGTCCTGCTGGAGGCGTCCAACACGGAACAGCTGATGGAAAACCTGGGCGCGCTGCAGGTGAGGGGGCGGGCCGCGTCGCGCGCTCCCCGGTCTCAGCTCTTCCCTCGGGGTCGAGACTCACTCCCTCCTCCTGATTCTCCCGGGCCTGACTCCCGGCGCCTTCCCTTCCTTCCCAGGTGCTGAGCCAGCTGACGCCCCAGAAGGTGCTGGAGATCGACGGGCTCCTGGGAAACAAACCTCACTCCAAAAAGTAGTCCCTCCCGCCAGGCGCAGGCGCCGCCGCCACCTTCCCAGCCAGCACCGCCCTCTGCCCCACCCCGCGCCCGCGCCCCCGGCAGCGCCAGCAGCAGCAGAACCGGCCTCCTCCAGCTCTCGCGGAAGCCAGGCGGCCCCGAACGCCAACTAACGCTTCCCAAGCTGCGGCGGGAGGCCCCCGATGATCCTACCCACCAAGGAGTACTGGCTAACGCATGATCTTATAAACCATATCCTGCCGCAGCATGGCTGGGGACGGAAAGTAGTTCGCCTCCCTACCGTCCTGCCCAGTCCTTGGCTGTCTCTTCCCGGCGTATAGCTTCTCCCGGGCATGAGCTGGAACTGGGTGGCCCTCTCTCTTTTCCGCCCCGCACTTTTCCTCCTTTGTGCTCCTGCCCCGCCCCCCAAATGCGCGGAGGCCTCGAGAGATTCCACCCGTCAGGTAATGAAAAGACTGCGTGACGTTATCCGAGACGGGAAGAGCTCGCCAATGGTGCAAAAGGCAACGTAAACAAGAACCGATTCCAGGGAAGGGCTGGCGGGGGGCGGATTTGAATCCTTGGTGCGTTGGCCGAAGCGAGCGCCGACAGTCACTTGATTTGTCCAGAGAGCCCAAGCTGGAAGCAAGTGGTGAGATCACCTTGAAACGCCGTTAGAGATGTTTACAGGATGACGTCAGAGGGCACCGAGAAAGCCCCAACCCCCCACTGAGTGTCTACTATGTTAGGGACGCCCCTTTACTCAGGTGTGAAATTATGCACCGCATAACTAAGGCCTTGGTCGGGGGTGGGGGGTGGGGGGGGGGGGGCGGTATTCAGGCCCACAGACTTTACGGGTGGATTTGAATAGGATGCCATGTTCAGCAGCTGACAGGGAAGTGGACGGTGATGTTATGTGGGTCACAGAGGTGGAAGCTGTCATCCTTTGACATGGATAAACATGTAAACATGGCATCCTTTAATTCCCAAGCTGAGGAGTGGGACCCTCACAGAATGGCCCCAGAGTGATGGGTTTTCAGAAATGGAAAGTGCTGCTGGGGTAGCAGCAGAGGAAAGTCCACCCTCTACCCTCTGGCAGTAATCCTAAAGCAATAATAATGGGCCTTCCCAGGGAAAATAAAGACTTAACTTCTTCCTCACAGAGTCTTTGAGGGGAAGGGGTAAGGTACCAGTACTCAGGCACCTAAGTCTGATATCCCTATCAATCTTTCTGGGGGCCCTGATATGCCATAGCATCTCCTGGTTTTCCCTACCATTGAAACTTGCCTCAGGGACCGCTACAGCCAGTTTCTATCAAAGGCCCAGGCTGACACACAAACTCTGGATCCTTCCCCAATCCCTTGTTCCTGCATTCCTCAGGGAGCCAGACAACCGGTTCCATAGGATCACGGTATTCAGAGATGGAAGGGATCATCTTCACTGTTCCATCTTTTCACCCCTTTAGTTACTTTTTGGACATAGCTACATTTAGTGTACCTAATGATATCCAAAGGACTTCTCTTCCATCTTTTGCCCCCTCCCCAATGCCACTAACCATAAGATCATAAGTCTAATGCTGGAAAGGACCTAGAGACCATCCCCAAGTTCCATCATTTTATGAGTAATCAGTCCCAGGGAGGCTGATTGATTGGGCCAAGGTAACACAGCTAGTAAGTCTGAAGTGATAGTTGAACTTAGGTCCTCTCCAGATTCAGTTCTCTTTCCACTGTACCACACTCTTCTGTACCACAACTTCTGGCTCCCATGTTTTTTTCTGTTCTACTTCTTTTATTGTTCCTTTTCTGCCTCCTTTCCTGATAATAACTGATATTTATGTAATGCTTTAAGGTTTGCAAAGTGCTTTACATGCATTGTTTTATTTGATCCTCCTACCAACATTGTGAGGTATGTGAAGATGAGGAAACAGGCAAAAGGAGATTAGCTTACTCAAGGTCACAGTCAAAGTAAGTATCCGAAGCAGGATTCAAACCCAGGTCTAATCTTGATACTTAAGTCCAATGTTCTTTTCACTACACCCCACTGCTTCTCACTGACCCTTTTAATTACAGATGTTCTGCAAGATTCAGTCCTAAGGACTCTATTCCTCAGGCTCTACATTCTCTCCCTCAGAAACTATAAAATGATTATAGAAATTAAATCCCAAAAGGAACCTTAGATATAATCTAGACCATTATGCCCCCTCCTTATTTTGGAGATGATGAACTGAGGCCCTAAGATTCTTACATTCCAAGATCCTGACCACAAGTATTCATTCCCTCTCTCCCTTCTGAAGACATAATACTGAGCCCTGGATTTGGGGTCAGAGGGCCTATATTTGAGTAGTAACCACAATAGTCAATTATTTCCTGACCTTGAGTAATTCCTGTCTCAAAGCCTCAGTTTACTTATCTACAAAAATGAGGAAAATGGATATGATGATCTTCAAGTTCCAAATCCTATGATCCACTGTGCCACTGACTTGCTATATGATTCTGAGCAAACCACTTTATCTTCCTCATCTGTCAAATAAGCAGCTTGGTTCCAATAATCTCTAGCTACCTTTGAGCTATAAATATAGTGATATGAGTTTTATATCCCTTCTCTGTGGGACTCAGTTTCCCCATTTCTCATTTAATAAAGTTGGACTTAAAGATCTCAACACATCCTTCCAGCTTTGAATACTGGATATTGTTGAGCCTGAGGCAGCTTGGGAATGTGGGGAGATGTTGGTAAGCTGGAAAATATCCAGTAACAAGGAAAGTGAAAGACCTGAAATTCATGATACATGAAGGTTGGTTGAAGGAACCAGGTGGATTTAACCTAGAGAGAAGTCATGGGGAAAGGGGGCATGATAACTGTCTTCAAGTTGTCTGAAGGACTGTTACTTGCATGAGGCCTATTAGACTTGTTCTGCTTGATCCCACAGAACAGACCTATGAACACGAAGTAGAAGTTGCAAAGGCATAGATTTAGGCTTGATGGGAAGAAAAAACTTTCTAATAATTAGAACTGGCCAAAAGTGATTGTCTTGGGAAAAAGTGGAGTCCTTGACACTCAAGGTCTTCAATCAAAAGCTGGATTAACTATATGGTATAGAAAAGTCTTGTTTCAGTTACAGGTTGTGATATAGAGCCCTTCAAACTCTAAATTTCTGTGGCACAAAAAGATGAAAAGTAACTTGTCCAAGCTCAATACTTGTAATGAGTAACAGAGTCAGAATTTTAAACTGTCTTTTGATACCAAATTTAAAGTTATTTCCACTGTCCCACCAAGTCTTTATCCCTCCCCCTACTTTCCACCCATGGTAGCCTATTCCAAAGGGCTGGATGGTTTACAAACAGTTTTACCACATTAGGATGACCAGACTGATCCTCATCTCTGTGGATCTGGGCAAGGAAGACACAGGATGCTGGTACAGAGATATGCAGAAGCAAAACAGAAATATTCAGAGAGATGGTCCCACAAAGATAAAAGAAAATAAAATAGGTAGAAAAACTGGATTACAGGTAGACACAGAGATCCATAAAGATGTTGTTGTTCAGCTGTTTTTCAATCATGTCCGACTCTTCATGACCCCGTTGGGGGTTTTCTTGGCAAAGATGCTAGAGTGGTTTGCCATTTTCTTCTCTAGCTCATTTTACAGATAAGGAAACTGAGGCAAACAAGGCTAAGTGACTTGCCCAGGGTCACACAGCTAGTAAGTGTCCAAGGACAGGTTTGAATTCAGAAAGGTAAGTCTTTCTGACTCCTGGGCCAGCACTCTATCCAATGTGACTGAAAAAGGTGAAAAACCAACAAATGGGGATAGTGGGCATCTTCCCCTAAGAAGACAGGTTCCATGGTACTAGAAATGAATAAAGGTTTACTAAGGTCTTTCAGGAGTGTTACATCACTAGGGATGTGGAATGAGACTACAATCAGAATGTCATTTCTGCCGTCCCTCCAGCCCTACTCTCCTACCACACTGCCTCTCATCACCACCATTTCCCCTCCCTAAATCTGGAAAAATAGGTGTACCTAACCTTCATATCCAGCAGAAAAGAATAACTGCTTGGCCAGACACCCAGCAGGTTAAATCAATGAAGAAAAATTTGCTGACATTTCAGCCCCTGGTTATTCCTACCATCCATCACCTGACTCACTGTAAAGACACAAAGCACAACCAGAGCTTTTTTCTAAGTTTATATCCTAGAGCTTGCCTATCTAAATGAGTGTTGTTACATTCAAAACTATTCTATTGAGAAGCTATTCAGTGATGCTACCACCACTCAGGACATTCCTGGAATGCTTTTTGGTAATCATCTGAGCCAACTTATGACTCCTATGAATAATCAACTCCATATCTGTTTGACATACATTTCCCACACTTACCCCCATCCCAGGCAAACCACATTTAATGGCTTGTCACACACTTTTCTTGGCTTTAATTGACTGTTTTTAATTCAAGGGAAAATATCTGCCACCACTAAGGATGATCACAAGATTACTGAAGGTTCTGAAGGCAATCACTCGATCTGAAAAGGACATCTGAGATTATTTAGGCCATTTTAATGACCAGGAAACCAATTCTCAGAGAAATTCTAGGAATGCTTTAAACAACTAGGATAAATATGGGCTTCCAAGATGACAACTTTGAAGGGGGCAGTACTTATTTGCACATATAACTTCTGGTTTGTCTAAAAATGTCCCATTACCTTATAGTTATATACCTCATATAAGAATTATATACCTAAGGGCAGCTAGGTAGCACAGTGGCCCTGGAGTCAGGAGGACCTGAGTTCAAATCTGGCCTCAGACACATAACACTCACTAGCTGTGTGACTCTGGGCAAGTCACTTAACCCCAACTGCCTCACCCCCCCCCCCAAAATAAATACATATATATATATATACACACACGTATACCTCATATAAGAAATAAGCCTTGCTCTCTAAGAGTTAGCAGGTTAGTTGGGAACAAGATTTACATACAGGACACCTTGTTGACTCTCATGTGACACTTGGGGCACTGCAGTAATGGTGGCAGTGTGCTGCCTTCCTGAAGGAAGGCAGAGGATGACTGTCAGTCATCACTGTATTGTTATCCATCAAGTGACTATAATATCTGAATTCCCCACCAGGAGGTGTCTCTCTGTGATACACCTGCCCAATAGCTACCTCAATTCTTCAGTGAGGCATGTGGGGACAGGCCCCCAAAAAGTAGCAGTGTTCTGTCTGGCCACTACCAGAAAGTGCCTAGGCTTAGCTGAGGCACGTTCCTCAACAATATTTTGTTATTCAAAATAGCAAAACTTGAAAGTCTACTGCTCCAGAGCCCCTACCTCCACCTAGACTCTTCTGTAGTCATAACCCAGGGCCACTATCATTCACAAGACTGATATATTCAACATACTGTGGCCTCAAAACTTACTGAAAATAGTAGAAATGGAAATAAAAATATAAAGTGCTCCTTCAAGGTATCATTCACCTTTAGCCATTTTCCATAGCCTTCCTCTAGATGTACTCCCAGTTCTTCAGGTATGTCAATCATAGGCACTGATAGATTATAGAGGGCATAAGGTGGAGAGTGAATCCAAATCAGAGATTGATTCTCAAGTAGGATTTGAGAGGTGGAAGGGATTCTAGCAGTCAGCTAGTTGAACTTATTTATCAAAGGAATCTCCACTATGATACACCTGACAAGTGGTCATCTACCCTCTGCTTAAAGATTACCAAGGACGGGGAAATCACACCCTCTCTAGGCTGCTTGTTCCACTTTGGGACACTCTGATTGTTAGGAAGTTTTCCCCAACATCAAGCCGAAACTGACCTCTTGGAAATTTCTGCCCTATATTCCTGGTTCTACCCTCTGGAGACAAAAGAATTCTGATTCCTCCTCCACGTCAGCCCTTCAAATACAGCTGTCATGTCACCCTGAGTCTTTTTTTCCAGGATAAATATACCCAGTTCATTCAACCAATCTTCATGTTATAGATTCAATGTCCTTCACTATCCCAGGTGCCTTCCCCTGAACATTCTCCAGCTTATCAATGTCCTTCCTAAACTGCGGTGCCCAGAATGCAACAGTCCAGATGAGGGCTGACAAGGGCAAAGTATCCTGGGACTCCATAATCCTGGAATCCCTTATGATACAACCCAAGATCACATTAGCTTTTTTTGGCTGCCCTATCATATTACTAATTCTGATTAAGTTTTCAGTCAATGAAAACTCCATATATCTCCACATCTTATATTTGTGTGGCTGAGTTTGGTTTTCATTTGGTATGTTAAGTACAACATTTATATTTATCCCGATTGAATTTCATCTTAATAGATTCAGCCCAGTGTTCTTGTCTGTCAAAATCCTTCAGTGTTTTAGCTCTGCCTCTCAGCTTGATGTAATTTGCAAATTTGATAAGTATATCATCTGTGACTTTAACCAAGTCACTGATAAAAATCTTAAATGGGGAGGAGAGAGAGAAGGGAATACACATTCATATAGCACCTACCATATGCCAGACACTGTGCTAGGTTCTTTTTATGAATATTATCACAGCTTCACAACAATACTGTGAAATAGGTGTTATCAGTATGCCCATTTCACAGTTGAGGAATCAGACAAACAGAGGTTAAGTGACTAGCTCAGGGTTATATAGCAGTAACTTCTGAGGCCATATTTAAACTCAGGTCTTCATGAATACAATCTGTGTGTGTGTGTGTGTGTGTGTGTGTACGTGCATGCGCGCCCCATATCTCGAGTGAAATCCACCTCTAATACAGAGGCACTGGGTTATACTGGGTTACTCCACTGGAGATGTTCTGCCACATTAAAATTAAACCATTAACAACTACTCTTTGAGAATGGCCATACAACCAATGCTGAATCCATCTGACTATATTATCATCCAGTCCACATCTCTCCATCTTCTCCACAAGAAGAGTTTGAGATACTTTATGAAAGTTTGATCAAACTCTCGGTAACTATTTCTGCAGTTCTCCCTTCCTCTATTACTTTAGTAATCCTGTCCAAAAATGAAATGAGGTTAGTCTGGCACAACCTGTTCTTGAAGAAGTCATACCAGTTCTTTGTAATCGGAGTTTCTTCTTCTAGATGCTTGCCAAACATCTCTTTAAATTATCTATTCTAGAATTTTCATGGGAATCCAAGTAAAGCTTATTGATCTTTTGTTTGCAGACTGTTCTCCCTTCTTTGGGGGAAAATTAGTAATATTTGCCCTTCTCCAGTCTTGTGGTCCATCTCCCCTGTTTTCTGTGATCTTCCAAATACAAGTGACATCAAGCAATCACATTTACCAGTTCTTTTAGAATGCAAAGATATAAGATCATTTGGGACAGGGGACTTGATTTCATCATGTGCTCTCTATCTAATCACTTACCTTGGATAGTAACTCCTTATCAATCATTTTCCCCTGTCATTTCCTATGTAAAGGCCATCTTCCTCTGCAAAGAAAACAGAAACAAACTAAAAAATGAGCAGTTCTGCCTTCTCTCTGTTGTCAGTAATCACCTTCCTATCCACCCCAAGCAGAGGTCTGATTCCTTCTTTGGTACTTTCAAAAATCCCAATATCGGGCATCCCAAAAGGACTTTTAAGCTATTAGAGCTTAAAATTGCACTAAGACTTTTAAGACTTTTGGCTTACCTTGCCAGGCTTACCACATTCTTAAGTTTTTACATTCCTAATAACAGGACTGTGCTACATGCACATTCATTCTGTTACATAGTCTAACTTCCATCTTTTCTATATAGAAAGCCAGGAGACCAGTGAAAGAAAAGTCCTCTCCACGTTGTTTACCAACAGACAAGATTTTCAGTGGATGCTGCCAATTGCAGGATTCCGCTCCAATCTCTACTTTTCCAGGGCCTGGGTCACCTCTTCATGCCAGTCTCTGACAGCCACAGTTGTTGGCCAACACAGTCTTGAACCATGACAATTAACAGTTGTCACCACAATGAACCTCGATGCTCCCCTTGCTTGCACTGGCCCACGTGTGACAATCAGCAATTCCAGCTCTGACAGCAGCCCCTGATTGCCTTAGTTCTCCACAGTAACTAAGAAGTCCATATGGGAGGAAGATGATCCCAAACCTGAACACCAATATACAGAGCTTATGCCTTCTTCTTTCCCACCATGTGACTTCCTGCCTGTTTCAAAAGCATGCTCCCCAAGACTGCCAGGGAAGGAATGTTTCTGTACTTACCTATCTTCTCCCCTCCCCCATTCTTTTATTTATCATTAACTTTGTGCCCAGAAGTAAATAATAATTGGAAGATGAAGAATGCATGGCCTGGGCACAGATCTCTGTCTCTGTCTTTCTCTCTTTCTCTCTCTCTCTCTCACACACACACACACACACACACACACACACACACACACACACACACAGTCTTCTTCATGAAATAGGCATTGTCAGTTGTAATCTGAAGGGTCTGAGTTTGTGCCACAAAAAGCAACTTACTCTTTTTGGTTTTTAGTTTTTAAATGGAAGCAGTGTGGTATAGTAGAAATAACACTGGCCTGGGCTCAAAATTTGACTCTCTGAGCCTCAGTTTCAGGTTCAATATGAATCAGTAAAAACCCCAAGATATACTTAAGGTACACGGTCCAGAAGAGTACAAGGCATGGTGGTTAGAGAACAGGCCTTGGAGTCAGGAAAACCTGGGATGGACAAGACCCACCTCTGATACCTATTCTGGGACGGTCACCTAACTGTTCAGTTCTTCAAGGAAATTCTCTAAGACTCTAATTTATAGAACAATTGCTGTGGTAGAGGAAGCTTCTTTAGTGGGAGTGTCCAACACTTATGGAATCACAAGTCTAAACTAAGAATAAATACTCAGAAGAGAGGGGGTCATACTCTTCCATGGATAGATCACAGCTTAAAGTATTGGCACCATATTTTAGGAAAGACATTGACAAATTCTAGAACATCCAGAGGACGATGAGTGGACTGAGGACTAGATGAGAGCTAGAATGGGAAAGACAAGGAGATAAGGAAAAAGGTTCTCAAGAGTAGTGGAACCTAGGAGATAGAGACAGCAGGCAGCTAAAGCTAAAGCCTTAGGTGTGGCTCCCCTCTATTCTAAAGTTGGTGGTAGGGCCCCAGTGGGGAATGTAGGCCAAGAGAGCCATGTCCTGTTTACCTATGGAGGAAGCTAGAACCCTGAGTCATAAATTATTCTGGGCTGTGTTAGCATGAAGGATGGTGTGTGGGTGTACAGGTCCTGCTACTCTGGAAGGGATTCATTTCTGGCATTCTTGAGGCCATGGTCCTGGAATCTGGATTCATACTTCCAGTCCAACCCACCTCAGGATGGGATGAGAGCTGGAACCTGGGCATATTGGAAGAGAGAGCTTCTTTGGCAGTGACAAAAAGGGGGTAGTATTGTGGTACTGAAAAGAGTCAAGCTGAAGGTTGGGTCTAAGAATAAGACAGAAGAATACAGGAATTTAATCAATGTCCCGATGAAAACTGATCCCAAGGGAGGCAAAAAAAAAAAGAGAGAGAATGAATAGCACCATCTTGCTTTGAGTGATCATGAGAACATATGTAAGAGGATAGTAAAGAGGTGTGCAGGTTTGATTAGACAGTGAGTTAAGAACTCATGGTCAGAGAATACTAAAAGGGCTGAGAATGGTGAGGTCTGAACTTGTCCAGGGAGGTGGCAGGGTCGGGTTGGGATAGGTAGGAGTTCAGGACTTAGGGACCATGTTTAGTCATAGTCATATTTCAGAAGGAGGGGAAGCCTCCCAAGGGGCAGGTACAACCAAAGTTGTTCTTGGTATAGGGGCTTAACAAGGCAGAAAACCAACAAAGGAATAGGCTACATTAAGAAAGGCAGGGTATCCTGGACTAGAGAAGTGAATCCCACTGTACCGTGCTCCTGGTTAGACCATATCTAGATTACCAAATTATTATGGACACCATATTTTAAGATGGTCATTGACAAGCTAGAGTGTTCAGAGAAGGGCAACCAGGATACTGAAGGAAGTGGAGAGATTTAGCTTAGAGAAAACTTAGGAGAGGATACCTTTCTAAAGAGAGTGTTTGAAAAGCTATTACGTAGAAGAGGGGATATATTTGTTTTGGAAAGCAGAATTAAGAGCAATAAGTGGAAGTTGCCCAGAGATAGATTTAGGGTCTATATAAGCAAAAATGCTCCTGCCATTCTCTTTGGTTGTCCTCCAGACCTGGAATGCCCTTCCTCCTCCTTATCATTAATTGCTCTGGCTTCCTTTAAATCTCCACAAAAATCCTACCTTTAAAAGGAAGCCTTCACCAACCCATTTTAATTGCAGCGTCTTCCCTTTCTTTCATTTCCTATTTATCCTGTATCTAGCTTGCTTTGTATATATTTGTTTGCATGTTGCCTCCCCCTTTAGATTGAAAGCTTCCCAGGGCCAGGAACTGATTTTTACCTCTTTTTGTATTCCCTGCCCTTAGCACAATGCCTGGACGCAGTAGGCATTTAATAATTGAATTAGAGCTCTCCAAAAGTGGAATGAGGTGCCTTAGGAAATAGTAAGGCTCTCCCTTACTGGAGGTCTTTGAATAGAGAATGGATGACCACTTGGCTATGTTGTGTTCTGGAGTTGGACTAAACTGCTAGAATTCTGGTCTGGAAACTTGTGGTTAGAAAGGAAGGAACTTGAGGGAAAGGGGGCTGAACTGCTAGGATTTGGGGGCTAACCTCAAAATGGAATGGGAGGTTCGAGAGAGGGATGCTGCGTTAATCTGCCTTAGACAGAAACGCTTGGTAAGCCAGCACTCCCCTCCTCCACCAAGGTCCCTAGCATTCTCTGGCCTCAAGCTTCAACCACCCTTACACACGTGCTAGCCCCTGGGGCTAGGACTCACCCGCGCGCCCGTGACGTCACGGCCCAGCCTCTCCCCTATAAAAGCGGTAGGAAGCCGCGGTGCCGGGCCCCAGGATGGACACTGGTAAGGGGAAGTTCCGGAACCGGGCCGTAAGAGGACAGCGGGCCTAACACCCTGGGTCTTGCTTTTAAGCAAAGCTTTGCAAGACTCCAACGCAGCGGCCGCTTCAACTCGCCGAGTGGAGGAAGATGCAACTTCTATTAAAGATCCCTTCTGTTCCAGAACGGGGCGAGATAGACTGCAACATCTGCTACCGGCCCTACAATCTGCAAGGCCGGACGCCACGCCGCCTGCCTGGGACGGCACGACAGCGTTGCGGCCATACACTCTGTACCGCCTGCCTACAAGAGCTGGCCGCCCGTGGCGACGGGAGCTGCGCCGCCGCCCGGGTAGTGCGCCTGCGCCGGATGGTGATTTGCCCCTTCTGCCGGGCGCCCTCATCGTTGCCGCGCGGCGGCGTCACGCAAGTGCCTCTGGACCCGGACTTATGGTCTCTCCTGAAGAAGAAAGAGCAAGAAGATGCCGAGAACTCGGGGGGTGAGTGCAGTGACACTTCGGAAATCGTGAACGAAGACGGAAACGAACAAGGGGCGGGACCCTGGGGCGCGGCGTGGCGAATGATCCTAAGGCTCTGGGACAAAGCTGTGAGTCGGCATCGACGTCCGTTACCTAGCAACGGTGAGTGATTGATGGGTTTATGGCTAAATGGGAGCCTTTCGTTCAGTGAAATTTGGAGCTGGATTGGGTGACTCAGCATCAGGTTGAAAAGCAATAAAAAGGGCCTAGTTAGAAGACCGGAGTTTTCAAGTCTACCTGACCTCAGTTTACCCATCGGTGAAACTAGGTTAATTACATTCCCTAATCGAGTGGTTGTGAAGATATCATCGTGAGAAGGGGAAGGGAAAAAGCATTTATATCAATGCTTATATAGTATTTTTATTCGTTGTCCAACTCTTAGAGATCCTCTTGGGGTTTTTTTTTGGCAAAGATAATGGAGTAGTTTGCCATTTCCTTCTCTAGCTCATTTTACAGATGAGGAAACCGAAGCAAATAGGATTAAGTGACTTGCCTAGGGTCACACAGCTACGTGTCTGAGGCCAGGTTTGAACTCGGGAAGATGTCTTCCTGACACCAAGTCCTGCCCATAAATGCTGTTTGTCAAGTTTTTTTTTTTAAAATAAATATCTCATTTGATCCTCACAACCCTTGGAGGTAACTACCCTTAACAGTTGAGGGAACTCAGCCAAATAGAAGTGATTTGCTGGTGTCTTGAGGCAGGACTTGAGCTCAGGTTTTCCTAATTCCAGGCCCAGAGGGCTAGCCACTGCTGCACCAGCTGCCTCACGCAATATAAATATGAGCTATGGCATGCACTTCAAGTCAAATTCTCCTGAAGGAATGTTTGTAGGATAAGAAAGCTTGAGCTAGGGTGACACCCTAGGGTGCTAGATGTGGATTGTGATGGTAGCTATGTAAAGGAAGACTGCATCCTCCTCCCTTCTGACCTGTCTGCTTACTCCCCTCAGTGCTTTACTGCTGTCCGGAGAGCAAGACCCTTACAGCCTGCTACATGCTGTAATTGAGGATACCTGGGCTGTAACCATGAAGGTGGAAACAGTTGCTGCCTCCTTTTACTGTCCACCCATGAGAGTGGACTAGGGCCAGTGTTCCTCCCTGCCAGATCCAAGGTTGGGGGGGGTGGTGTTTGTGTGAGAGGATGGAATTTAAAACTCATGAGGTGGTATAGCAGCTCCCTTAACTCAGGCTCTGGCCTCAATCCTCCTCCATTACTCCAGGACACAGTGGACTGGGAGCTGACCCTAACAGCTTAGAGTCCACACTTGCAGTAGGACAAATCTACGATAGTTTCTTTGGCCTGTCTGCTGGAGCAACTGCCATGTTAGCATTTCTTTAAAATGGTTTGAGATGGAAAAGAATGAATGGCACAATGGGAAAAGCCTACTTTAATTCCAAGGAATGAATTCTATATCCCTGGCATTGAGTCAAGGAAGTCAAGTACCTGCACTTAGTGTGATCACTTCTTCCTCTTCAACCTCTAATTGTACTTTATATGGACCTTTTTCTTCCCACTTACTCATTTGTGTATATTTCCTACTTCTCTTCCTAGACTATAAGCCCATCAAGGGCAGGAAATCATTTTAACTGTATTCCCAGTTCCTAATAAACATTTGTTAAATTTAATAAAATTTCCCTGTTATTTTTCATTCCCCCCCCCCACCTCGTTCTTCAACTGCCCTTAACTGCTCCTGTTACTGGTAGCTACTCATTCTTCCCCAATTTTGGGGATAAGTGACATATTTTTGTCCCCTCTTGTGGTAGGAAGTCAGGTGGGGATATTGTCACAAAACATGGTGAACAATGAAGAGAGCAGATGAAGAACCCAGCTCTGATTCTTTGCCCCAATTCTCTTGGTATCCTTACTTTCATAATAGATCCTGTGAAATGGCAGAGGCTCCCAAATCATTTTTTGGCCCATATTTATTTTTTCACTCCTTTCTTAACTGCCCATTCACCTCTTAAATTATCCCAAACTTCACCTGGGGTTTAATAAACCCTGCAGTTATCCCCCCACCACAAATTAATTGCTTAATTGAACAACTTGGTGATTGTGGTGGGCTACAGAAAGAGGTGGCGGAGCAATAGAAAAACTTGGGATCTATTTGAACACTCCTGCTTATCCTCCCATAAATCCAGGCCCCTCTCCTACCTTAGGTTTCCTAGTACAATAGAAAGAGTATTTCACAGTACAGTAGAAAGGCTCTGCAGTCAAAGTACTATGTTTGAGAACTACCTTTGCTACCCATATGATCTTGGGCAAGTTACCCTTCCTGGGCCTCAGTTTCCTCATCTGTAAAATGCAAGGCAGTTGAAGTAGATGGCCTTCTTCAAACCCTTCTGACTTAGCTAAAGCCATCTCCTCCCACCCTACTAAGAGTTCAGCCTAATCTCATTTTCACTGAGCCTAACACAGGAGAGCCTCTGGGAATGGAACAGGAAAGCCTGTGATGACATTATCCTGTCAATATCTTGTTTGTACATAGTTGTTAGCATGTTGTCTCCCCGATTAGACTGTGAGCTCCTGCACAGCAGGGGCTGTCTTTTATCTTTCTTTATATCCTCTTAGTATGGTGACTTTACTCACCATATTATTATGTTACATGAGTTACTTAAGAAACGCTTACTGATAGAAAAAAAAAAAGAAAAAGAGAAATCATAAAATATAGAGACTGACATATGGAAGAGCACCAGGAGCCCGATACCCACCTCCCTTCATCAATCCCCACCCTCCATAACCAAAGAACCCTACCCCCAAAATAACAGAGCACACAGAAAGGAAAGTATAATTTATATGTACAACCAAGAAACCCGATACAGAAGGGAGTGGGATAGGTGAGGAGCAGGTGTGAAAGCAGAAGGGTTGGAGTAAGGAAAAGGAAGAGGGGATAGCAAAGAGGGCTGTGGTAGCTGGGGGTTCACCATGCAAAATGTTACTTTCCCTTGGTCCCCATGGGGGGAATACTTTCCTATCATCCTTCACCCCCAAGTTCTCTGTTAATGGTCTCAGAGGCATGGAGGCAAGGTTCCCCTAGCTAGTACACCCCACCTTATCCAGTCAAATCCAGCCCCTTGGTCCAAGCTTGGAGCTGGGGGGAGAGGGGTGAGGACAAAGGAAGGAGGGGGGTCGATAGAGCACTCTTAGGACACCTGAGTTTCCAGAGCTGGGGCACAAAAGGGCCTATTCCCCGGTTCTGGCCCTTTGTATTCCTTCTCATCTTCTCTACAATACCTGGGTTGCTGAGGTTGGGGGTGGGGGAGAGGGAGGCTCCTCTTTGGCCTGAGAGAGTGTCCTCCATCCCTGATATTTTTTCTTAGGGGGAGGTGATACTTGGTCCCTTGAGGGGAAAGGGAGGGAATCCCCCTAACACAAGGAGCCAGTACACGGGAAGGTGACTCAGCCAGTGAATGGCGCCTTTATTCTGAGGCTGAACATGGATTGCCCTCCCTCCCTCCAACTTCCCACCCTCAATTTTGGGGGAGGTAGAGGAGAGCAACATGCAGCCATGCCTCCCCTCTCTTCCCCCTAGGGGTCATTTTCCATCCCACCTCAGATTTTCCCTCCCTTTCTCAAGAGTTCTTCCATTCCCCATGTGGGTCCACAAGGGCCAGGCAGGGCAAATTCCCCTCCTTGGTTACTGAGGATTGAGCTTAATACTGCAGGGGGAAGGGGGAAAATGGGGAAGCCCTACCCCTTTCCCTCCCCTCTTACCCCAAACCATTTGCTGGAGAGCTGTATGTATTAAGGTTGGGGCTACTTTGGAAGAGCAACTCCCCACACCCCTCCCTGACCACAGCACCTTCAATCAAAGCATCAATGGAGAAGGCACCTGGGGCAAAGGGGTGGGGGAATACAGGGGGAGAAAGCCCTGGTTTGGAAAATAGGGGTGGAGGAGAAAGGGGCTCCTATCCTGATGGTGGCCCAAGGGGTGGGGAAGGTGGAGGATTGGCAGCAAGCCCCAGGGGTGGGATGTGGGCTGGAGGACGGCCCCTGGGACGGGGTGAGAGGCAGGGCTGGGGCCCTTTCAGTCGTCTATACAGATCACCTCCCCAGCCCTGGGCTCCTTCCGATCCTGACCGTCGGACACCACTGCCCCCTCCTTCTCCTTCTTCACCAACACGGGAGGGCCGTTGGCTGCGGCTGTTTTGGGAAGGATTATGGAGATACCATTAACACCCCAAGTGACATCCAAGTTTCATATCTTGAACTTGGCACACACCCATGTCCAGATTGTCACTTGCAGTACTGAGGGTTACGGGTAGAGATTCCCATTTCCTAAGATGCTCTTGTGCCACACAACTATGTCTATATCCAGTTTCCAGAATGGAACGCTGACTTCATATCTCCTTTCCCCAAAACAAGCCAAGGAATTAGTCACAGGAGGTTAGTTATGAAAGTGAGGAGATAGGCTACTGAGATTTCACTGAGTAAGGGAGTAATAGAATTTCAGTTCAGTTAAGAAAGGGTGAGAAGACAGGCAAGGCCCAGAAACACTGAGACAAGGAAAGAATTTTGGGTATGGATGGGTACAGAAAAGACAGGATGCTCCCCCTATGAGATGAACAAGAAAAGAGTAAAATGGAGTAGAGGGAGATGGGAAGAAAAGAATATAGGTAAAAGGGGACAGAGGAGTAGGGGAAATTAGGAAGAAGTAGGGAAAGAAAGACGTTAATGAGGGCAACCTCAGACAATTTGGGAATAGTAAGAGAGCTGACCTTAGAACCAGGAAGACTTTGACTCAAGTCCTGACTGACGCATATAATTCTGTGACCCAGGAAAAGTCATTTAACTTTTCAATGCTCTAAGCAATTTTGTAAGGCTATAGGTTGCAGAGATGTCAATCTCCACTAGTAGAGGGAATTTCCCTATCTGGGACTTCCCTATATCAATGAAATCAAAGGTCGGTCCCCATGCCTATCCCCAGGCTGACCTGTGATGAAGGACCCTGCGGGCATCTGGCTGTAATTGGCGCCGCCGGCGGCCAGGACCCCGGCGGGTGCAGCTGAGCTGAAGGCTGCTCCGTACCCCAGTGGTGTGGCGTAGGGACCCGGAGGGAAGGCCTGGAATAGAAAGGAGGTAAAATGTCCATGTCCTTGAATTAGGAAGAAGCTGAAGGAAAAAAAACCCATGGCTAGACTCTTGGGTCCCTAGAGGAACAAGATCTGGGAAAAGAGAACCTACCAAAGGAATGAACATGCTACACTACTCTGTACCCTTCTATACCTCTGGCCACAGTCACCCAGAGAGTTGTAATTATATTCCATTTCATGGGTCTTTGATGGAAAATGGGGCAAAGGGGATGAACCTGGTTCTGAGGTAAAGAGGATAGAGGATTACCGGTGTGGGATAGGGCTCTGTGCCCTTGCTGGCCAGACGACTGAGAATACTTCGCTCGGACATCTGTAGGCGGGCTGCGATGGGTGGGATTCGGGACAGGGTAGCTGGAAGGCGGGTCACATCTGCCTTCATGTCGCTCAGCAGCTCCTCCAGCTGGTTCAGAACTGGGGCCCGGGCCGCAGAGAAAGAAAGAGCAAGAGAGAGAGACAAGGACAAAGACACCGGGCCGTCACCAGGAGAGATGGAGGCCAGGAGAGACAGAGAGAGAAAGGCAGTGTCAGAGAATGACAGAGAGACTGCAACAAAGACAGAGAATGAGAGACCAAGATAGTGAAAAAGACACAGAAAAAAAAAAGATAGTTCAAAGGACTCAGAGAGAATGAGAAAAAGAAGGTCTGACTACCATACAGGACAGATGGAAAGGACTGAGAAGGAAAGAGGAAGTAGAGAAGTAAAGAAAAGAAAGGGAGGTAGGAAAAGTCATAGGAGGACATGGGGGCCAGAGGATCCCAGATGAGAGGAAGGCATATTTTAGGATGGGGGTAATGAGAAGGAAATAGGAGGAACCAGAAGAATTAAGTAAGGTTGGGGAGCCTAGGATCCAGTAGATGAGAGGAAAAGGGAAAGAGTGTTAGGGGGTCAAAATGAGAAATTCAGAGATTGGGGTCAGAGGTACAAAGGATTACAGGTTCAGGAAATCAGTCCATAAAATCAAGGATTCTTGAATTTGAAGTGCAAAAAGGTGAAAGAATTTTTGAATGACAGTTTTGGGGAGAGGTCAAAGTATTATTAGGTTCATGGGGGTGAGTTAGGTAGGTAGTAGGGACAGGGAATAGTGTAAAGATTACATGGGATGTTAACAGTCAAGGAAAGGTGTGCACAGTGTACAGGAGTGGAGGAGGGAGATCCACTAGGATACAATATCAGGAGTTTGGAAATTAAAAGAGCTAAAGGAAGTTCTAATAAATTTAGTATTGAGGATGTGGTGAATGGTAGAGTATATGGTTTATATTTAAGATTAAGGTTCTATGTGGGTTGGGCAGCAGGGTTAGAATGTTAGAGGCTGAAGGGGCAGGGGTTTAAGAGGGTAAAGGGTTGTTTTGCTTGACTGCGTATTTGTTACAAGGGTTTTGTTTTTCTTTTTTCAATTATGGGAAGGCAGGAAAGAGAGAAAATAGATTTTTGTTAATTGGAAAAAACTAAATTTAATTTTAAAAAGGAGGGTACAGGGGTCAGAAGGGTGGGAGAGGGTGTTCCGCGGGATGCAGGGTGCAGACTTACGCAGCG